GAAAGAAATTGAGGGATATTTTGCACCAAAAGATACAAGTGATGCCACTCTCAACGATCATTGGTTGCCCAATTCTGCAAGTAAATAGTATCCAATTGTAAGAAATTGAATCCATTGAAGAATGATATTCAAAAATTCAATTTATAGTTTTGAAACTATTCTAAAGAAGCATTCTTCAAGGATTGTACCTTTTTTGGTTTTTGGTTTTTATTTATTTTTGCTTTCTTTATTTTTCAAAAATGATGCAAAAATAGATTGTTCTGAAATAAAAAAGAAACGTTCCCATATAAAAGTTAGTTGCCCCATTAATTTTTTAATGAATGAACTTGTCTTAACATCCAAATGGGCATACTGATACATCTCACATTTGAGTTTTTAATGCCAAATATGTAATAATTTGCAAAAATGTGAATACACTCGTTGGCTAATGGGGCATTCTTTGAAATGAAATTAAAAGAGAATCCATTCTCTTTGTTAGGTTCAATTGTAATTGGCAATTCTGTGAGCAAAAAGGGTCAAATTAATAGTGATAAAGTCGAGAAGTCATGTGCAATATTGTAAAACTTGTTGGTAGGATAGGGTTTAATGTCAAAATATGGAAGGATAGACCATCGCAGTTTCACTTTCTTCTCACCAGCGCACAGCTCGAGCGGCACTTTCAGAGAGGATGTCGCTAGCTTCTCGCCAATTCTTTGCTCAAGGGAAAAAGGGCATCGCTAGCTGTCGCTTGACGTCACTCGAGTGAGGTATTTTTCGTGAAACCCTAATTTTCCTTTTTTGAGAGTTTCAACCATTCCAAACTACCTAAAACATTCCACATATAAATATCTGCACCGTCTTAACGAAAAAGCTTGGATTGTCCATTGGAGAAAACACTTGCATCCTTCAAAATTATACAATCTTTTCTTAATCAACCTTGGCGGTTAAAAAACATCAAATCTGAAATTCAAACACCAAAAACCAAAAGCTTCCTGAGGATCTGCTTGTGATTGAAGATCAAGGAAGATGATCGGAGTTCTGGTAGTTGGAGAACGAGAGTTATTAGGGAATCCACAAGAGATAGATGAGATCAGAAGTCGGGAGTTGGTGCAGAAGCACACAGTCCAGGAGGGCTTTGGGAATTACAGTACAGGAGGTCAGAAAGAACGTGTGTGAGTTTAGTCTGGCGGTACTATAAGTTATGTCCGTTTATAGTGGATTCATACTGGCTTAGGCTCGGAGTTTTACCTAGTTTGGGGTTTCTCAGTCATCAAACTTTTGAATTCTTTAATTTTCAGCAATTTACTATTGTGCGGTAGTTCAACATAGGATAGTAATGCATGTGAATGAATCTGGACAAAATTGATAACTGTGACTTGTTACAATTATTCATTGGTCGTTTAAAATTCCACATAAACACCTATTCACTCTCTCTATGTGTTATTTGGGTCAAACTACGTTATTTCAAATGGTATCAGAGCTCTGATTTCAGGAAATAGGTCAGACATATACAACGAGAAGGCATTTGAGTTGGTTGTTTTTGGGTAGTCTTGGTAGTCACATTTGATAAGTCTTGTGAGTCAGTTTTGTTGTACTGTATGTTTTGTCACAGAATGCCAAAGTGGGAGATTGTTAGGTTTCTAATGTATTGGTAATTCTTTAGACAAAATGATTAATACAAAAGAGTTTTAAATGTCAAGAAGTCTTTTAGATTTGGTAGTATAGTCGTTGAAAGAGTCCAAGATGTCCAAAAAGATCACACATGATCATTGGAATGCAATTAGAAATCTAAAAGATATCAAAGAGTGGCACAAGTTATGTTTTAGCAAATTGCAACACATTTTTCATGCAGAAAATGTTAGAATTTTGTAACGACACGATCTCTGTACCCAAGCCATTAGCTTACTATCTGTCTGCTTTGGATGGGCCTTGCGCCCACTTACCCCTCATGACTTTCTATCGCGTCCCCCAGGATTCGAACTTATAATCTTTCCCTTAGTAAGACTTAAGTTGAATCCTGGGCAACTGCCAATTGGTATCAGGATTTAACTTAAGTCTTACTTAACGGCCCGGGTCTTTGTACCCAAGCAATTAGCTTATGTACTGTTCACTTTGGATGAGCCTTGCACCCACTTACCCCTCACGACTTTCTATTGCTTCCCCTAAGATTCGAACTCATAACATTTTCCTTAAGTAAAACTTAAGTTGAATCCTGGTATGTAACAAAGCGGACAGTACGTAAGCTAACAGCTTGGGTACAGAGATTCGGGTCGTTACAAATTTGGACAAGGCTAGGCTACTTCTAGAAGAATTGTGGCCCTTTAAGTTACATTTTCAACGCATTTTGAATCACCTCAATTAGATATTGGAAGATAAAGTTATAACGAAAATACTGACAACTACTCAGCTATCGTTAGCTCCTAGCTCGAGCGACAGGTCGACGATTAGAATTCTGTTTTACTTCAAACACTTAGGCCATGTTTGATTGGACACATTTTCCATAGAAAATGGAAAACATGTTCCTTTTCCTTTAAATGGTGGAAAACTGAATTCCCACCATTGGTGGGAATTGGTTTTCCAATTTTTTTATTTTTTAATTTTTTTAATTTTCAGCAATGGAAACAAAATCTATCAACCATTGTAAAAAAAATTATCCATTTAATTGACAATTTTCATGACAAATAAGACCAAATGAACACCAAAAGATTCAAAATTTCAACATTTTTCACGTGAAAAATTATATCAATCAAATACAATAATTTACAATTTCCAGGAAAACAATTTCTAAACAATTCATTTCCCTGAAATTCGTTTTCAATTCCATCTTTGCAATCAAATGGACACTTAGTGTGTGTTTGATAGGGTGAAAATTCCATGGAAAATGGAATTGCAATTCCTTCTTTTTATTTTTTTTGTGTTTGATTGACAAAATTTTTCTTGGAATTCATTTTCCACATTTTCATGCCACAGAGACATTTTTCATGTTTTGAAGGAAAATGAATTCTTACCAAAATGGTGAGAATCCATTTTCCCAGATTTACTGAAGCATTTTTTTTTCATTTATTTATTTATTAAATTTTTTTTGTGCAGTGAAAATAAATTTTAAGAATTATTATAAAAAAATATTTCCCTTTAATTGAAAATTTTCATGTAAAACAAATCTAAATGAATACCAAAAGATAGATGATTTTCTTGATTTTTTTTTTTGCCAATAGAAACAAATTTCATCCCCAATACCAATAAACTATATTCCTTTAATTGATAATTTTCGTGTAAAGCAAAGTCAAACGAACACCAAAAAATACTTTTATTTCAACATTTTTCACATAGAAAATTATACAAATCAAACACAATAATTTACAATTCCCAAGAAAATAATTTCTAGGCAATTCAATTTCCTGTAATTCGTTTTCTTTCCACCAAATTCCATATTTGCAATCAAATGGACCATTAGTTTTTCATTCCCTTTTCATCCCAAACACTTTTCCTTATAAATATACAGCCTATAGGATGTCCGAAAGTATGGTTGATCATTATATTTCACTTTCATATCATTCTTTAGTGATCCAAGAATACTTTCAATTGGAGAATTCATTCCATCATTTCTTGAGATCATTCAACCATGTTTTGGGAAAACATCAAGATTTTTAATCCAAAATACCGTGTTTCCTTAATCCGTTGAGGAAATGTGGATTGAAGCGCAATTATAAGCACAAGAACAGGTGGTTCTTGGTGTTTCACTTGGAGAGACATTCAACGTAAGACCAGGAGGCTGTAGGAGACAGTAGATTGGACTATAGGAGGTAGATCAAGAGGTCTAGCAAGAGGCTAGAGGTATCTACGATAGTAGGAGGCTAAAAGAGGTAGATTGGGAGATCCAACGGACTAGAGATATCTACGGCAGTAGATCGTAAGATTGTAACAGTAGGTCTTAGTGGGTACATGAGTTATTGGAATTGCTGTGTATTCCCTGAACTGTCTATAATGGAGGTAACTGGCTTGATCTCGGAGTTTTTCCAACGTTGGGTTTCTTCGTCATCAAAATTGTGTTTTTACTGCTTTCCATAATTTATTACAAACTGAGGCATTTAAACATAGGATTAAATTGAATTGTATGTTTAACCATCTAGAAACTAATTAAAGTGACGTGTTGCTTTGGTTAGTATAATTCTGCACGTAAGGTCGAACAAATTGGTAATCTAGAACGTAAACTTGGTAACTCTAAAATTTTAAGTGGTATTAGAACGTTCTAGATTCTTTCACTCTTGAATTCAGCCTAACATGCCCGACAAATGGTAACAAAATCATGTACTCGACTGAATAAAGAAACCATTATAATCTTGCCTGTGTTAGAAAAAATTCAGGAATAATGTTGCTTGTACACGATAAAGTTATATAATGATTTATATATAGATAATGTGTCAAAAAAAGAATGATGATTTTTTATATTTTTTATATGAAGAAATTCTTACTCGGTCATATCTCATCACATATATGTATGTAAAGTATTATGTAAATGTAGCACAATCGAAAATTCAGATAAATGTTTGAGTCAAATTAATCAAAATGGCGAAAATTTATGTGATGATGAATTCTTGAGGTAACGGAGCATCAATGGTAACGAGAGTATTATGATGTAGATCTCCACACGAGGTATTATCTTATATACCTTAAACCAACCTTTCATAATCATATACCATAATCCAATGTGGTGTACCAAACATGCCATGGAAGGATATGGGCGGAAGATTGTCATCGCTTAACGGGGCACTGATGATAATATAGTACTTGGTTTGAGGGGACGGGGAGATTGTTGGAGATATGATGCATCGGCTGGACATGAGAACCATTTTTCATTGTATAAATAGATTGAACTATTCTTTATAGATTAACCCTATAGGATGGAGCTCAAAATCTCTACATAATTACATTGCAACGATACATTTGTCAATAATTATTTTCACAAAGACCTTCCTATTTTATTTCTTAATTTTATTCGAATTAGTAAATGTGTGCATCAGTTCTTTTGTTTTCATCTGAAACATAACAAGAATTTTTAATTTCTATGCATTTCATTTTTGCTCTTGATCAATGTAAATAGCACTCTTAACGCTAAATCGAAGTTTTTCTTGATCATCGCTGCTTATTAACTTCTTACATTCTTCAGTGTTGAATTTAGAAGAATGGAGAGAAATTAGGGAATCAGCCAGATTTAGTAACCAGCTGGAAATCCACCCTTTCTTGGATCACTTACTGCAACAAGTTTCCCAGATGTTGATGAATCCAATTCCTCAAGTACTATAAATTGGCATATTGTCCCTCCAGCAAGACTTTGTAAGACATGTCCCTTCCTTTTTAGAGCTTCCCGTGTCGTTTCAGAAACCTCGAAGTGATCGCCTGTAACTGCTGTCCAGTTCTCATACTGTAACACATTGGGAATAAGCTGCACAAGCAATATCACCATTTCCAAATCTTATTTACTGATTTATGAGTCATGAGGTTTGCTGCATTTATCTCAACTTCTGAATTACAAAAATTGCAACTGTGTTGTCTAAGTAAGTACCGCAAGGGAGATGACAGAAATTTAAGAAATGTAATGATGATTAGTAGTCACCTGATCATAAGATCTTGGAGCCATGACAGAGGAGAATGGATCCATTTCTCTTGCAAAGTAATTCAGAAATACTTCTGTTGTACCTGCAATTATAAAAGATCCACCACTTGCACCAATGACAGCTTTCAGTTTTTTCCCCTAAGATGACGAAAATGGGAAACCAAAAAAGAACATTAAACATGATAAGGGTCCGATCGTGTCATTTGCACGTTGGTGCAGCATTATACATGTAGATGGATCGTGAAGGCGACTTTGTACCTTGAGGACAATTATAGGGTTCATAGATGACAATGGTCTTTTGCCTGGATAGATAAAATTGGCTGGTGCTGGAGGTGGAACATTTTTCAAATTCTTTGCAGGCATCGAGAAATCATCCATTTCATTGTTGAGAAGTATCCCAGTAGTTGGTGAAAGGAATTTCGAGCCAAAATATGAATTTACAGTTGTGGTCATAGAGACAGCATTTCTTTTACCATCTACAATGGATATGTGACTGGTACCATGATCATGAATCTGGTTCCACCTATTAAGAAGCTAAAAGATACATCAAAAGCAGTATTTGGATGAGAATGGATAATTAATAAACATTCATAGAAGCGTTAACAGCATGTTTTCAAATTAGCCACAGAAATTCGACACGAAAAAGATAGAAGAGGCGTAGAATGAACATATCAGATGACAAATTGAGCTGCTTACTTTCCACCATAATGACTGGCATTGAATGTCATATTATCAAAAATGGTCTTCTTCAACTTGGCTGCAAATTTGGTTGACAGCATATCCTTCAAAACATCTGTAGTATTGACAAAATCCGGATCGCCAAGGTTCATCCTCATGGCAAATGCATGTTTCAAAGCTTCAATTTCTCTATGGATCATAAGCGAATCTGATAAGTTTAACAGCCCTTCGTACTGGGCGAGGATGTTTAGTATCTGAGGAAGTCCCAAAAGGCAAAAAGTGACGGAATTTAGGGAAAAATAAAGAAGTGAAAAGTGAAATTTGAGTTTTGTACTTACAAGTGACATTGCAGCTCCTCCAGAAGAAGGGGGAGACATACCAAGTACTCTAACCCCCATGAAGTCTACTGAGATCGGATTTCTCTGTTTAACTTGGTAATGCTGCAAGTCCCTCATTGTTAGAATTCCCCTGGCCTTCCTCACATCGTTAACCAGATTGAACCCAATCGTTCCATTATACAATGCCTTCACTCCATATTTTGATATCGCTTTCAGAGTTTTTGACAGTTTCTTGTTATAAATTTTATCACCAGGTTGCAAAAGGCTACCGTTAGATGAGAATATATCACGAAGTCCCTTAACTGCCATGATGCCTGATTCTGTTTTCACCATTTGCATATGGAGATACGGCGAAATCTTGAATCCATTATGTGCAAGTTGTGCTGCTGGTTTTACGAGTCTCTCCCAGGAAATCTTCCCATATTGTTCCCAAGCTTCGTGAAGTCCTGCAAGTTCTCCCGGGACTGCAACAGAGAGAGCGCCACCTTCCTTTAGGGCAACATTTCCGGAATACATGTCCTGGAAAAAAGAAAAATCAAGAACTTCAATATAATCAGTTTGGTAACTCAAGAGATCTGAAAGATGGCAACAAGCCAACAACTTGATTACCTCAAAAGCTTTCTGAGGAGCAGATTCTCTCATATCAAAGGCTTTGGCGACCCCATCAGCTGAACGGACAAGCATAAATGCACCACCGCCAATGCCGCTAGAAGCAGGGCTCACAACGCCCAAGCAAAGCGCTGCAGCAACTGCTGCATCAACAGCATGGCCACCTTCAAGGAGAACATTCCTCCCTATGGTTGAGCACTGACCATGATCAGTGGCAACAACGCCATTGGTTACTGTAATTACCTCGCGTCTTCTACTGGCTAAACAGCTACTTAGACTTGAACTCAAACACAATAATGAAATAAACAGCAGCGATACAGAATCTGATCACAATATGAGCACGTATCTCAATGAAATAATAATAATTACGACTTCTTCAAGAAAACGAGAATATAACACCATGGATCTTATAAAAAATAATTATTCAAATGCACACCAGGAAAACTTTTTGCTATGCTGATTGGACAAGGCAGCTAAAAAATAAATAAATATTTTCGAGTCTATCTTCCTTGAGGTTGTCCAATCCATCATACGAAAAATGCCCTTTTATGTATAAAATGTGCATGAACTAATTTAAGCATAATGCATCAAGTATAGAACAGAAATATCAGAAGTACAATAGAGTTCACATTCACATGCTATAATTTCTTCTGAAGATTTTTTCTAAAAACAGATTAATTATTCAATTATAAGCACCAGCAATGAGGTGATGTCAACTCACATGCCATAAACTCTTTTGGAGAGAACCAATTTTGATGAAACCTTCTTAAAATCAGTTAAGCAGCTTTACTCTAGGAAATAAGCAAGAAGGCCTTGAAATCAGTGAGCTGATCACACTGAAAAAAGTGGTTGCTGGTTTTGCTTCCCTGCACTTCACGTGTAATTGAGTTGTGGAAGATCGTGTCCTTTTCTACTTTGAACGAGTTATGCAGCAGGTTGCAAATGGAATCTCTCTTCAGATAAGAGTCAATGGTTTCCACTTCCTCCATTACACGTTTCTTGTTCTTTTAACTTAATGCTCGTAAATGTTGACAGGCACAATTCTCCTTGATTCACACAAGCACCCAACCTTAGAATAATTAAAAGCAAGTGTTTTAAGTTTCGTTGTGTTCTATATATGAAAGAACATATATTATTTGATTAAAAGAAATTAAGAAGTTGTTTGACAAAGTTTTTGATAAATGTTTTAGCAAATTTTGATAAAATTGATAATATGTATGGTTGAAAATTGATAAAAATTGTCGATCGCATAAAAATGTAGACTTTGACATCAAATTTTTAACAACTTTTAAGCTATCTTATACAAGCACTAGGGAAACGTTAGACATACTTTTGCTTTTTGTAGAAAAATTTTATTTGGAAGTTACCTTAAATTTTATTTGAAAACTAGTTTTTAAAAGAATTTTCAATTTCAAAAGTGAGTTTAAGAGTTTCTCTAAAAGTTCTTCTAATTACAAGAAATACTTTTATAAAATTAGTCAAACGGGATCAAAAGCATTTTTAAGTCTTAAGAACTTATTTTGATTTCTCAAAAGTGATGTCAAACGGGCCTTAATCTCTCTCCAACCTCCTAGGAATTATAAATAAGTACGTATGTATTATTTCCCATATCACGCAGATTTTAAGGTGTTGAAACTCCAATCCTCCTAATCATAAACCCTAGTACTTGGGGACCGATTGGAGGAGTTATAGCTGGTTGGTGAAATTGAGTGATAATTAAGAGATATGACCAAAATTTTAAACAAGTGGTGGTCAAAAGGCAAACGTGGCAGTAGTCACCTAACGCAATTTGAGGTTAAGGCTCCTCCACCTAGATGGGTATAATTTTGGGGGGATGGGTTAGTTTTTGGGGGAGATGATTATGTGAATCGCGGAAGATGAATCTTGTTTGTTAACATCAACCTCATTGTATTGTTACCTATCGTTGTCGCCTCATTTCCCCCATCTCCGTCGACCCCATTTTTACATTTCCATACACTACATTTCCTCTTAGAAAGAATCTTTAAAAAATTGAAAAGAAATAAATAAATATAAAATAATTCTCTTCAAACCCAATAGTAGTGATAGTGGAGAAGTTCCCCACCAATCAATGGATTTGATTGAGTGGGTTAGGTGTTGAGATTGGAGTTGGGTAGTTGTATAGACTGGTAAAAATTATTATTATTATTTTTTGATAAATTTTTAGATAAAATCGTTAAAGGTCCTTTTGGTGCACAATTATTAAAGATTTAAGACAATCCCTGCATATTTTTAAAAGGTTTGGAACTTCTAATGCAAATTATCCTTTTTAGTTAATAGAAGGTTAAAATTCGTTTTGTCCTTTTAAAATTAGTCAAATTATGCTCTTAACGCTGATTTTTGGACGGAAATCATCAAAATTTCCTTTCCCCGCACTAATTTGAAAGATTTGGGACCAGAGCTGCTATGAATTAAAGGTTCAATACAAAACCTGCAAACTTTTGAAATGCTTGAAATCGTCGCTGCAAATTATCTCAAGGACTTAATAGCTAAACGTCAATATAAACAGATTGAGTGTAAATCTGCACAAGTTGTCAAACAATGAGGACCAGCATCCAATTCATACCATTGTTCTATGGTGGCATCTCCATCATGCTAGATGGTGCTAAACAATCAAACAAAACGATTCTTTTTATATTAATTGAGCGTTAAACATCAATTATTATATTTATATTTGGATCTAAGATTATTAAAAAAAAAAAAATTGATAATATCTATCAAAAAATTTAATATAGAATCTTTTCTGTCAAAATCTAAATATATTTATTTAATACATGTATTGTGACTAAACCAAGAAGCACCAAGAGGAAAATCCATTAAGTGAAATTATCGATTGTAATGTAAAAGCTTGTTTATTTGTGTGTTTTATCATCATTTTTTTTTCCATCCGAAAGTAACATTATTGTTGCTTAGACAAGTCCCTTTAAACAATCATGTTTAATTAAGATTGAATATTTATTCACAAGCGAATAAGTTTTAAAATAAATTTTTTAATTATAAAAGTTAGAAACAAATTACTTATTTTAAAGTACACGTAAAAGCTACATTAAAACTATAAATATATAGAACACGTTTAGGCGTAGGCTTTGTAAAAGCAAAAAGGATCGATTTCTCTTATGGCTTTATTAAAGATAATATTAGATGATATGCGTGTGGCTCTACATTAAGCTTATAGATACGCTCCATTGTAGGAAGATACTTATTTTTCAAATAAAAGCCTAACACATACATAATTTATTTAAATGGACGATGGTGAAAGTTTAACCCATGAACCACAAAATTGAACTCAAACCAGGTGCAAGAGCTCATGCGCAGGCCCCGTATCGAATGTCTCCATCTGAGTTGGTGGACTTGAGAAGGCAGCTTGGTGGTTTAGCATTCGAAAGCTCCCTACGGTGCCCCAGCTTTATTTTAGAAAAAGCATGACGGTTCTATGAGGACGTGCGTAGATTATCATGCCCTGAGTAAGCAGATGATGAAAAAAAAAAATTTTTGATACCTAATGTTGTTGATTTGTTTGATTGGTTGTAAAAGGCCTCATTTTTCACAAAGCTGAATTTGCGATCGAGTTATTGGAAAGCTGAATTTCCAATCATATTTATTTGTGTTATTTATTCTTAATGCTTTCAAATACTAATTGAATGATTAGATGCTTTAAATTTTAGTACTCGAGAGGTGAAAATTTAGGCGCGATCATATAATAACACAACCTAGATTTTATAGGTATCAAAAGAAAGTATAGAATCTTTGAAGCACGTTCCACACAAGAACCACAAACTTGATAATTTCTAGATTCTAATTTGGCATACAGATTTTGGAATTGAAATACAAAAATGACTTTTACCTGGCACTCAAGAGAGAGAGTAAAATTAAATTAGGGTTCTTGCTTATAAATTTGGAAAATTTGATTAGAAATAATTATATAATTGAGAATCATATTTGATAGTTAGGTAAAATAATAATCCTTTGCTTTTCTCATCTTGATTGCTCTTCTAGCTTGCATTTATTTGTTGAGTTCGTCACTATATTCATCATGTTACCTTAGTTAAGATCAATGATTCTAAATTTCATTCATCTAGATAAAATAACATCTACATTCTTATAGTACTTGGTAGAATTAGATATCAATCCGTGTGGGTTCGACATCCTAACTTCATTATTATATTACAAAATTTGATATTGTACGCTTGTAGAATAATTACATCATATAAATGCATAACAGTGTCCGACTGACATAGTTATTCAATTGCTTTTCGAAAAATGATGTAAGTACTTTGGAATACACGAAGATATTGTAAATGATTAGGATTCTCGATTTACAGCCAAGTTTTAGACCATGCTTTTTAATATGATGGGGGTCTGAATTGAAGTCTTCTATGGCACATCATCCATAGATTGATGGTCAGACGAAAAGGATGAATGCTTTGTTGGAAGAATATCTTAGGTACTGTGTTTTAGCAAGTCAGAAAAATTGGATTGCCTTGCTTGATACGAGATAGTTTTGCTACAATCTACATCATTCCTCTTCCATGAGATTGAGTCCCACTGAATTAACTGTGCAGCATATGCCTAAGATGTCTTTTCCTGAATTTTGCTCTTAGCAACTCCTATGTTCGAAGTAAGATATTGTCTAATTATACCACGAATTACAAATGTCTGGAGATTGTGAAATTAAGGGGATGAAGTGTGTGTCCAACGGCTTTGCGATTTGCCTAAGACAAACAGAAGATGATTGAGCAAGCTAAGGATAGCCTTGAAAAGGCTGCCCGATGGATAAAGAAGTATGATGATAAAAACATGAGGGATGTTAAGTCTCAGGTTAAGGATTAAGTAATGTTGAAGTTTAGCTCCCTAGTTTTGGAAGAAGATTAGTAGCAAAACACTGTATCGTGGGCTGGTTCAAAAGTATGATGGTTTCTTTCAAGTGAACAAACATGTGGGAGAGGTAGTTTATCGGCTGAAGTTTCCAGATTGTTTGAAGGTTCATCCTAGCTTCCATGTAAGTTAGCCTGAAACCCTTCAATGAAAATTTGTTGAGCGACGATCGAGTGCAGGGTAAGATAAGAAGGTGGCAAAGATCTTGGGTCATTGAATGATGGGGACAAGTAAGAAAAATAGAAGGACAGACTACATTATTCAATGGAAGTGTGGTAGAGGGATTGATGCAACCTATGAAAGGGACGTTGATTTGTGGTAGTTTGAGGATAATGTTAATGGGTGTTGTGAATCAAACCCGGTTCTTTGTGCCCCCATAATTTTCAGCTAAAGATGTTTTATGGAAATGCGATTTATACAGTGAACTTTACACTGGATGCTGACACTTGGCACATCATAAACCGTTGGATAAGTTAATTGGCCTTGGTGATATATATATATATATTCATCTTCTGTGAGTGGCTAGGGTTTTTTGATTCGCCATTATTTTGAACATCTCATTCGAAATGCTACTTTGAGAGTTTAGTCTTGAATACATGTGATTTCTTGTGTGAAATCTGTAATAGTTGTGAGAATTAGGGTTCTGGTTTTGTGAAGTCAAATCTGTAGTTTCTTGTGTGATTTGAGCCAGATCTATTGGTTCTTTGTGAAGAGACAGTCTCTTATACTGTATTCTGGTATTAGCTAAACATTTGTAACCTTCGTTGCCAGTTTAAGGCATTATAGTGCAACCGAGCAATAGTCGTTCTTGAATGGATGCTCAACAGAGGACTAGGTGTTAAAAGGGTTAGCGAACCTCTGGGGCTTCGGTTGAAAAATTCCTTTGTGTTGAATTTTATTTTTCTGCAAGTTTTAATTTCTATTATTAATCGATCCTTAGTATCTTGTGTTTAATATCGTGTTTGAGCTTTTCAGTGGTATCAGAGCACTAAACTGGGGATAAGATATCTGGATCTTGGAAGGAAAGCACTAATCTGTTCTAGATCTGAAAATTTTGTGGGATAAAGGATATCGATTTCTTACAACTCGT